GTGGCAGACTAACTGCTTGACTTTCCAACAGCAATAATCAGAAGGAAAAAAAGACAGTAGAATTTTCCGTTCCAGCTAAAGAAAGACTAGAAACAAGCACTGAGTAAAAGAGGGTCTTTAAAGAGCCTGACTGGCCCCAAAGCATGCTGTCTTGCTTCCCCCCGTAGCGTGCACAGTACAGATTGGGCAGAGCTCCAGTTCCTTTTCTCTAGTCAAGTCTTGATCCCTAGAACTCAGCACATAAAGTGTGAGACCAACTCAAAACCCGGGTTAAAGGCACACTCAGTTTGGATTTTTTTTTTTCTTCCTGTGCTCATGAAATGATTTTCCATGTCCCTTGGGTACAAACACACAGACAAAATTTTCTGTTAACCACGGCCATATCTCAATGCACAATGGGGCTTGGCTTAACAAACTATATCAAGAGAGAATGAGCAAGAGAAAGTATGACCTCAAATATAATCTTGTCAGAGCCGTGGAGGTAGGAAAGCAAATTCATGGACAGGTACAGAGAAGCATTCAGGCTGGCAGACATGCCACAAAATACAGTTATCCAAACACATTATCAGTATGAAGTATTTGGAATAGGCCACATGGTGGGCAGAAGGGGCCCTGCAAAGTAGATTCTCTTAAGCACTTATGAAGTTATTGATATAGAAAATGATCGACACCCACAGTCACCATGGTGCTGTGGTTCGAGGATCTACCCCTGTGATGGGACAGGCCTGGGCCTAGCCCAGACTGGGACATTTCTAGCTGTGCTGCGCCAGAGAAAGTTCATCATTCAGTTTTAGTCTCATTAACCAGAATTGGGTAATAAGAGGGCCTGGGCCACCTTGTGTTGTTGTGCTACTGGAGAAAATGGTGACTCACTTGCTGTCAGGGAGAAGCTTTTAAATTGTAGCTTTAATCACAATTTCATTACTGGTGAGATGAGTTCAGTAGTCAATTTGCTGAGGCAGGGGTAGGACAGTATGGGAAACTAGAAGAATCATTGAGCTTAGGAGCCGGAGGTGGGAGTCCTCCCTATCTCTGACTGTGGGCCTCAAGCTCCTAAGCAGCCGAAGAACATGCTTATGTATTTTTCTACTGGTATTTCACGAAGCACTTTCTGTGCCTAAGACTTGGCACATTGCTATAATAATCATGAGAAAACAGCAGAAATGATTCATTTGGTCTTAGGACAGTATGGGAAACTAGAAGAATCATTGAGCTTAGGAGCCGGAGGTGGGGGTCCTCCCCGTCTCTGACTGTGGGCCTCAAGCTCCTAAACAGCCGAAGAACATGCTTATGTATTTTTCTACTGGTATTTCACGAAGCGCTTACTGTGCCTAAGACTTGGCACATTGCTATAAAAATCGTGAGAAAACAGCAGAAATGATTCATTTGGTCTGGTAAGCCAGGAAAACTTTCACACTGGTGGTGACATTTAAGTAACAGAGTCTCATTAGTAGTCATCAGTAATCCTGGGGACAGTGATGGGGGAGGGGTTTCAGGAGAAGACAGATGAGAAAATAGCACTTAGACTTTCAGGACTAGGAAAGGTAAACGTGCCTGAGTGCAGACAGGTGTTAGAGGCGTGGAGACCGAGGACAGCGGAAGATTTTGGAGTTCCACAAAGTCTTGTGTGCCTTGATGACAGTTTTGAAATGGTTCTATAGGTAATATGAAGTCCACAAACATTTTTTTTTTGTATAACAGAGGAATAACTGAGTCCAAACTGTATTTGGTAATAGCACTGCGAGGGTTAGGTTGGCAGAGAGAGAAAGGAAAGATAAAGGCTATTGGGAATCTATTGGAAATGTTTGGGTCAGAGGCGATGGAAAGAAGGGAGACTTGTTCTGGTATAGGACATGAGGCTCAGGCTGATTCCATGGTGGAGGGTGGGTGGGTGATAGAGAAACAGATATTTGTTCCAAGACCAGGTGAATGACAGTGCAATGAAAGCGGTATGCTATGATGGGTTTGATGAGATGCTTTTGCATTTAAAGATTTACCCTATATTTTTATAGCATTTGAAGTATGAGTTCAGTACTCAAGATGGGGTTTTAGTTAAATATATATTTAGGGTACTTTATTTCTACTTGGATAGTTGTTAAAGTCATGGGAGTGTGCGTGGTCACTCATAGGAGAACTTTATAAAGAGAAAAGAACCTTGTAAATTCTTAGGGGCCATGCCACCATTCAGGGAGCGAAGGAGAGCTCAGAGGACAAGGAACTGAGGGAGAGTGTCAGGAAGCTAGACAGAGAACCCGAGAGAGTGGTCACATGGAGACCTAGAGTGAAGCCAAGTGTGACCAAAGGTGTCACACTCAGCAGAGGTACACTAAGATAAGGCTAGAAACAAAGTCACCCACCAGGCTTAACCTCGTAAGGAGAACCCTGTACTCCCATGACTTTAACAGCTAACCAAGTGGAAATAAAGTATCCTAAATATAGATGGTGTGGGTAATGATGGAAGAATCTAGTTTGCAGTGGGATAGAAAGTGCAGAACTTCTTGAGCTTTCCCCCAGAACTGTAGACATAAATGGCACAGAGGGATAAAAGGCAGTGATCTGTGGGCAAGAAGAAATCAATGAAAAGTCATTTTTAAAGTCATAGGAAGGCTTCTTAAC